AGTTAATGAAACGTTTGTTAATTTTGGTCACTTCTGCCTATCACGGAGGAGTGATATATGTTGTTTTGCTGCTTGTGAATACAATGCCAGAACAATGTTAAAATAAGTATATTTCTTAAATAAGTAGTTTAGGGCAGTTTTGGGGAGGAGCCTTTGCATTAAGGAGTAAAAGCAAAACTACACGTATGTGCATACATATAGACACATACAAATGTAAATCATTGGACAAACAAGAGATCCTCAGAGCAGGCATCTCGCTCAAAGATACTGTATTGTACCCTGCTTTGTGGAGGTGTCTATTAAATCCAGCACTTCAGTTTCTGGGCTGTAAATTCAAATCAGGCTCATCTTCCCTAAAGAAGCAACTTGTACTTACTGCTTAAATTTAGAATCCTTTGGGTATTGCTTGTAGTTTCATTACAGAAGCTAGTTCTCCTTCTACCCTCATAATGAATTTCAAAGGCATAGACAGCATTATACATTCACATTCTGATAGTACATTGTCCTATTGCACATAAAGTTGGGAAACATGGAATACTACTGGAAGTATTTCTAATGGAAAGACCAAAATCCACAAAGGTTTGTCTGAGTGTAGCAGCCAATATCAGTTTTGCTGCAGTTCAAACCTTTGACAACTGAGGAGGTTAGTAAGAGTGTGAAAAAAGGCTGTTCTTCCTGTAGGGATTTGAGTATTTTGTATATAAACAGTCATTCTTGCACTTAATTTTACCCTAAGAATAGTAAGAGATCTTTACGAAAATGTTTATTTCCCACACATCTTTACTTCTTCTTAGTTGTGTTTCTGGTCTTGTAGTGGCTTTGCTGGGATAGAATTAATTTTCTTTATAGCAGCCCAAAGGTTCAGATTTGCAACTAAGCAGCAGCAGTATCTCAGCAGTGTTTCAGCTGTTGCTGGGCAGTGCTTGCACAGCATCCGGCTCTTCTCAGTTTCTCACTCTGCAGTCACAGGGAGTAAGCTGCGTGTGGGCAAGAGGCTGGGTAAGAATTCAGTGAGGACAGCTGACTCAAGTGGGCCAAAGCGCTCAAGACCCAAGGATCCAAAACTCAAGTCTTGCTCAGTTTATGTCCCCAGGCTGAATCGGTATTTTGGCACCAACCAGTTACTGGGCTGTGAAATGCTGCAAGAAAACAGTGTGAACCAATACGGTTTTCAGTAGTCTCGTAAACATAAATCAGAGAAAACTGGAAAGCCAGGAGAAAATTCTGGTTCCAAAGCCAGGAGAAAATTCTGGCTTCCTCAAGAAAAAAATAGCTTTTTGTTTCACATCAACATTTAAAAAATCCAGTGTATTCACAGGGACTGATGAGATAATAATCTTTAGAGAGAAACTAAGCTAATACATACAGATATTAAGGAGTTAGTACAGAGTTTGCTGTCATAGCTAAAAAAAGCCACCTGAAACCTTTGCAAAAATTGCTTCCCCATTAAGAGTAGATTCAGTGGACAGATTGAATATGCCAGTTACTTGCTTTAGAGAAACAGTTATTTTCAGAATTGATGGTTTGTCTTTCCCACATACTGGGAAGGATACTCACGTGACACCAAGTGGGGTGATTGCTCTTGAGCTTTGCCTCACTGGGCATAGATTCAAATAGTTATTTTTCCTAGGTTGCCCTCAAACATGCAAACTAAGGAATAGTAATTTTAACTTTGCTTTGAGAACAGTAGGCCCCTATGACAAAGATTTGAGAAGCTCACTGGATAATTTTCAACCTTGGAATTTGAAAAATAACATCTATATTCTATTAACCTTTTCCCATGCATGCAACATCTTTATTTTATAGAGGTCTATAAAACAGAGAGTGCTAAATACAGCAAATCAGAAGAACAAAATACACGCAACAGTCTTTGTCATTCAAAGTCACTTTACTGATGTTACAATATGTTAGTAACATTGAAAACCACAGGCATTTGTATTAAATACTCTTGTAGAAGTGGGTACTGTGACGCTGTTATTATTAAAAGTGAGCAGGAATTTAGAACCCCATATTACAACAATTTGATTTTATAAAAAGCAATGTTTTGTTTGGCTACATGAAAGCCAGATTCATTCAACAGCCCAATGCCTGTAATGTTTATGACAAAAATATCACACTCAAAGCTATAAAGTTGTAAACTGCAGTGCTTCATTTTGATGTTTGTCAAAATCTTGCGCTTTTATTACATCATGTATGATTTTTAAGGAATTTTAACTAGCAAATACAATGATATGATGCAAATCATTGTTTTTTCCAATACTAGCCCAGCCACAGTGGTGAAACATGATTCTCCTTGCCTCTTTCAATAATGGCTAGTATGAGTGAAAAAATAGCTTTTTTTTTTTTTCTTTTTTTTTACAGCAATGCCCAAGTTAAACATCAGCACAAAATGAAGCTGGCAGAGTCAGTTGGTATATACCACCCCAAAAGCTTTGCTGAAAGAACTGGTCATACAGTGTTTTCTCCAGCAGATTAAAAATTCTGTAATGCTTTGCTATTCTGAAAAAAATATTTTGCATTTATGCAACAATAAAAATAAGTATTGTGTTCTATATAAAATATTACCTATTGTAATATATTTTTATCCTTAAGGAAAGAAAAATCAGGTTATATATTCACAGTTTGAGTATATTCTGGACTGTATTTCCAAGCGTAAAGTATGCAGAGTCTACACAGGCAGTGAGCAGGAGTTCTTGTACCGATAATCAAACTAAATCAGCATTTGCTTTTCTACAGAGCCTTACAATATTGCATGATTAGCTGCTCGCACCACTCCACTTACAAGGTCAGTCAGGCCTATATACAGAGTTTCTAACATGGTTGTAAAAATAGACTCTCCATGCTAAAGTTAGAATATATAAGGTCTTAAGGCCTCATGTTGATTTTTTTTAAAACAAAAGCTTTATTTTTTTATTCAAAGGAATACAGAAACAGAAAAAATAAAAGTTTGTTGCTTTGACATTTTATGCTCTAGCATTAAAAATTAAAAATTGCTAGACACCTTTACTTCTTATTGTTAACACCTTTACTTCTCCCTTAGATAACATGTTTCTTTTTAACTGCTCTGTGCTTATTTTCCCAATTTTTCCTCATCTCATTCTGAGTTACATGGCAATTATGGCCCATGTTAAGTAGCACAGATTTTTAAACAGTTTAAAGCTGGTTTAGATGAAGTGATTTTGAAACTGGTATAGACTAGATTTTAAAGAGCTAGAACTGCCAGACCTGGCTAGGTGAGCCAATATTGAAGCCAGGTACATTATCTCAAGTGTGAGCAATATCTGTGTTCTGAACTTATTTTTACGGCTTGTTTTTCTTACTTGGCTGAGATAACATAGGAATGTTGACTGTTGTAGTGCTTTTCTCTAAATACTTGCAGAAAACTGTTGTGGAATGACAAGATACCATGTGCACAAGATGCTGTTTCCAAAGCTGCAGTTTACATCAGCATCCATACTTGAGACACCAGAAATGGTTTTCATAAGCTGACTTAGAAACTACTCTTGTCAGAGGATATTTTTAGCATAGATGATAGAAACTATTACTTCCTTTCCTGTTTATGACAAAATTACACTTAAGAGAGTCCTGCCTGTATTGCAGCTCTGTTTACATAATTAGTTTCACTGTTTCATTTTATCTTACCTGATTAGGATAATATGTACACACAGAAACCTCACTCCACTGTCCAGTAATGGGATCACAACCTGCACATATTTTTCAGTTTATTCAATTTTGTCTTTAGGAATCACAGAATATTCTGGGGAAGGGACCCACAAGGATAATCAAGTCCAACTCTTAAGTGAATGGCCCATAGGGTGATTGAACCCGTGACCCTGGCATTATTAACACCGAGGTCCGACCAACTGAGCATGTCAAATGTGATCCAAGTCAAATCCCCTATTGCTGATACATGAGATTTGGAAGCTATGCAAATAGTGGGTCATCAGCTCATCCATTCTTGGTATTCAGTGGAGACTGAAATGCTCAAGCTCTTTAAAAATGAGGCAAATAACATCATACTGTGGTTATCCCATGACACTGAAACTCAATTTAGAAAAAGAAACACATGATTTTCAGACTTGGAGTAAGAGAAACGGGAAACTGCTGAACTGTTAAGGTTCACAGACTTGGTGATTTAAGAGGCTTAGCCTTCAAAAATGCTAGAAGGTGAGAGAGACACAGGATGGCTGAGTCACCAAGTGGTTTTCCAGTAGTATTCTGGTTTAACCACAAAGTAATTAAGCCCCAGAACAGCTGCTTGCTCAGTCCCTGCCCCCAGTGGGATGGCAAGAGAATTGGCAAGGTAAAAGTGAGAAAACTCATGGGTTGACATAAGAAGAGTTAAATAATTAAAATTAAATAACTGTAGCAATAATTTTTTAAAAAATAATGGAAAGGGAATTAACAGAGAGAGAAATAAAGCGCAAAAAAGACAAGTGATGCAAGTGAAAACAATTGTTCACCATCAACAGACCAGTGCTCAGCCAGTCCCTGAGCTGCAGTTCTTCACTGCCAGGCTTCCCCCTGCATTGTTGCTGAGCATGGCATCATATGGTTTAGGACATCCCTTGGGTCTGCTGTCCTGGCTGTGTCCCCTCCCAACTCCTTGTGCGCCCCAAGCCCAGTTGCTGGTGGGGCATGTGAAGAGCAGAAAAGGCCTTGGCTCATTGCAAGCACTGCTCAGCAATAACTAAAAAATTCCCTGCATTATCAACAGTCTTTTCAGCACAAATCCAAACCACAGCCTCATACCAGCTACCGTGAAGAAAATTAACTCATTCCCAAGCAAAACCAGTGCAAAATCCACGAGACATGAGGCATTATCACCTGATTATAGCACAAGCAAAAGATCACAGAATCATTAAATGGTCTGGGTTGGAAGGGACCATAAAGATCATCTCATTCCAACCCCCCTGCCATGGGCAGGACTTTTCACTAGACCAGGTTGTTCAGAACCACATCCAACCTGGCCTTGAACACTTCCAGGGATGGGACATCCACAATTTCTCTGGGCAACCTGTGCCAGTGTCCCACCACCCTCACAGTAAAGAATTTCTTCCTCATTTAACCTACTATTATTAACAGCATTGGAAAGACCCTATCCATAGTGTGGAAAGGTGACCAACTTAGCAGCTTTCTGATGTCAGCCAACTCACAGAGGCTGTTAGTGGATGAATGTTTCATGAGAATTCTTTTCAGTAGAAGTGAAAAGAGGATGGAAGAGAACAGCTCATGAGTTTTACGCTGGAGTCTGATAACTTTGCTTACAACTAGCTATGGGATTCAATGACAGAGCAAGTCCTAAGGGCTAACTGAAGAGTATATCCTTTAGGATTATGGAGTCTCGTCCTTCTTTCACATTATATTCTATCCATTAATTAATTCATTAATAAAGTTACAGCAAATTTGTAGTATATTTGTCAGAATTTGTAGTATACGCATATCTATAATAGTGTATGTACCCATTCTTACCTCTGGTTTTCAAAAAAGTATTAGCATTGACAAAACCAATCAGTCCAAACCAGCAATAGGGATCTGAGTAAGTGGATTTCAGTACACTGACTATTAACACAATTTCTTTCTGATTTTAATGCAGGCTATACCTCAAAGGTCCACTTGTTCAATAGCACAATCAAAATTATTTCATGAGCACATGAGCTCAGCAGGTTCAACATCTCATAAATCAGGAACTCTTTAAATCATTTGGAAGAAGCCGTCTTCAAAGTCAAGTCACACTTAAGGTGACTGGCAAGTTGTGACTTTAGTCACAATTTAAGTAAAGATAGGCTCTGTAAAATTAACAATCTCCTTGAATCTACTTACTTAAATATAACAACTACAATATAATAATTACATGTAAATTATCAGTCACAACTATCTCTGGTATATTGCCTGAGATTACTGAAGTTCTTAAGTCAACAAATCCAGAATTAGTAGGTAAATCTTTACTTGTTAAATGTGGCATCATTGTCCAGCATTATTTTTAGATACAATCTCAATTTTCCAGTCTCCATCAGTTAGTCACATTAATTTTATTATAAATTACACAATGTGTTCTCTCACACTGAAATACATAAAGGTAACTTAAGTATATCTCATCCTGCCAGTCCTATGCTCATAGAAACAATTACTTCTAGTTGAGAATTGATGGCTTCCTCACTTCAACCGGCATCTACAGCATAGTTGGCAATAACTAGATCATTTATTAAAATAAAACAAAAATAAAAGCATGAGTCTCAATTAGTCAAAATGACTGCGCTATATTAGTGACAAGTACTCTATTTTAGTCTGGATGAGGTATTATGCAGCAGTTTATATTGCTATTGCCAGTGTGACTAACTACAGTGGATAAAAATATTTGCCATCTTCAAGGTCATTAATCTGGCAGCTTTCCAACATACTACATTTTAAAAGTAGGAAATGACAGCTTTGTAACTTCTCTGTCCAACCTCCACTGGCTTGGGAGGCTCACACAGCTCTGCCAGTTCAGGTTTCCCAAGTTACCAACCTGATGCAAAGTTCTCTGCAGAAGAATTTTGCAAGAACACAAGTCCTGTGATATTCTCACACTAGACCACCAAAGTGAAAGTCAACATTTATTTAACTTAAATTTAGTGCTCAGAACTAGACTTCCAGTCACTACATATCTCCAGATGTGAGGGTGACTGTTAAAGGTACACTACACACATAAGTGTATCATCATATGCTACAAATGAATTATGCCAAAACAAAAGAAGCTGGAAGTACATACGACATTGAAAATACAGTCAGGAGGGCCATTTGTTTGCAAAACAAGAAGCTATGAACATAGCAGAAAGACCCTGCATGTTATCTCCAGTTCTGTCTGCCAAATCTTGCTGCTTCTTGGTAAGGCAAAATGGAAAGGGAAGAGTAAACAGTGGTAAACATAAGATATGCACGGAAATCTAATGGGATCCTTCAAAACTACATGCCAGTTTGTATCCAAAAAATACCATAAAAGGCCCACGATGAACAGTCCACTTACTAAAGACAATATATGAATATGGGAGGGAAAATCAGCTTCCAGGCGACAGAGTAATACAGTGATGATCAGGTTATCATAATGTCCTAATGTGGGTGAACCTCTTGAGGGTCCTGCTCAAAGTCTAGTGAAATCAACAAAAGACATATTGATTTCAAGTTATGGCTCAGACCCTGATTTCATAAGCAACATGCTGTCAAATATCTTTAATCCAGATAGCTACACTCAAAGTAAATCTTTGCAAAAAATATTCTTCTGTGCTGATTGGTATATTTACTTTTCACAAAAATGCAGAATCTTTCCCTAAAGCAGTTACAAGTGACTGTCTCTTTCCAGATGGTCAGTCTGCACCCATTTGTGCTCTCTTACATTTGTCTTTTTCCAAATACTTACCAGAACCTGTTGACTGTGAGAAAACCATTTGAATGCCAAGGCCAATATTTTGTCATAATCCAACATACAGCCTAATCATAAAATATAGTGCTTCTAAAAATCTCACATATTTTACAGCTGACGACATGTTTAAACATTTCTTAATTTAATCTTACATATATCTGACTTTATTGAGAGACGTAAAAGTTAAAAAAATACATTAAAAGGCTGCAAGTGTTGGGTTCACTTACTAAAGGAAATACATGAAAGAGGTAGACGATTCAGAAACACCATAGATGTTCCCATTACAATAAAATCTAATTAATCATACAGCTGTTGGGTAGGGTATTCAACTGCACCACAGAGTTGGGTGTTTTATTCTGCAATAGTACTACCTGAAGCTAAGTAGTCATTTTGGAAAACCAGAGAACTATAAACTGATTTAATATGGTCCAGTTTCTTACTAACTGAAAGTTCCCAACCAGAAGGCATCTGCTTTACAATGATCTTTAGAAGTCTCAGGTGTTAGAAATACAACCATTAAGTTACAGACAAGATTAACATGGTAAAGAGTTGTTCCCCCTCACCCCATTCTTTTTAAGCTAAATTCACTTGTGCTCAGTTTAATGCCCCAAAAAATTGTCAAGGGGGCTTCAGGGGCAGCAAGCATAGCATTCAAGCACATGGGAAATGCGATTCCAGGAACAAATAAGAATTGAAAGACAGCAATGAAACTGGCCACTTGCCCAGCACTGTTATTTATCTAGTGCAGTGAAATTGTTATGCTTCTCATAAGCCTATGCCTTGCCATCTAAAACAGTGTCTGAAATGCTCTATCAAAAATACACAGCAACTCTCACAGACTTCACATCACCGCATCCTGAACTGACTGCTTAGAAGTATTCCCAAATGTCCAGTAAGTTTGGGTTGTACATGACTTAAAGACTGTTGTCTGCTGAATCATTCTTGATTACACCTGTGAGAGGATACAGCGGTTATCTTACTAAACAAGGGATTTTGGCTGGTTCCTTTTATGATGATTTAAGACAAAGTGCTGCTGTACTGGTTTCTGCAGTCTGCTGTACAATTGAGATTGTCAAGACAGTATAAGATGCTGAAAAAGTTGTATAGATTTTGGTCAAACACCAGTTTCTGAGAGACACAGTTTTACAGTACTGTACTTTCTGTATTTCCGAGGATGCCTGCTCATAATATTAGAAAATCTGAAGTGTGATGATGTTAGTCATGACTGTTTCTTTAGGCATTTGGCAAAATACACAGACGTATAACAGCTATTTTTGACATTATTGAATGTTTACATATATACAATCTGTATACTGAGATTATAAACATGTAAGGTAAAAAAAAAAAAGAGATATAATCTTTGTTTGCGGTTTGTGTCAAATAGTTGCCTTTCAAAGCTTGAAATCCTGTCACAAAAAAAAAATTCTATATTTCTTACTCCTGCATGCTAGTCTCTATAGAGTATGTTGTTTTTCCCGTACATGTGGAAAGTAAAGAACACAAGGTTCATGCATACAGCGTACAAGTTTACATCAGCTGGGCTCTCCGTGAGGCACATTCCCAGTTCCACTCTGGTCTGACTCAGGACTGCAGTAAACCAGAGAAAAACTTCTCTTACACAGGACTGGCAAATGGACTGCAGTTGGGATTCTAGGTCACCATTCAGAACAGCCTTGTCACATCTGAGCTAATTATTCTCTGTCAAATTCTATTATTTTGTTTGTTCATCAAATCCATAAAATACAAGTCAACAAAAAAGAAAGAAAGAAAGAAAGAAAGAAAGAAAGAAAGAAAGAAAGAAAGAAAGAAAGAAAGAAAGAAAAGAATGTTTTTTTCCTTTCCACATGACAGGAGGTTATCACTGTGATATCACAGGCATCTCTGTTGATCTTTCGAATTGTCTGAAGAGCAGATGAATGTGCAGTAACTCAGTGATGCTGAGTTTCTATAAAATCCAAAGTAAACAGTTCTGATGTGACCCCAGGAAAACACTGCAGCTAGATGGATGTCTCCCATAGCTGGAGAGGGGAAAAATAAACACAAACACACATTGAAGATAAAACAGGATAAAGACAGATAAAACAGGCTGTGACCCAAACAGTGCAAGGAGCTTGTTTGGGGAACTGCATCTACATCACTTGGGTCACCAATCTCCTCCCAGCCTCTGGTGGGTATGTGTTCACCAAGTGAGCAGACAGTCTTGAGCATTTCAGCATGACTTGCAGTCAGCATAGTAAATGCCCATGGCTGGGACTTCAGTTTTCTTTTTTGAAAGAGAAATGTCAGTGTAGCATCAAACTCGTACTAGACAGCTTTTACCTCAGAGTTACGCTAATATTACTGGAGAGATAACTTCCCATTTTCATCTGCCTAACTCTGCTCAGAGCAACATGACTTCCTGCTGTGGGTTTGAGCTGCTGCCAAAGCAGCTCCAGGGCTGAGACACATCAGTACAGCCCAGGCTCCAAGCTGCCTTGGGAGACCCTGTGCTGCACCTCACACAATCTTCTGCCCCAAGCAGCACTGGAGGAGCAGCTTGCAGGTTCCCTCAGCAGCACTCCATTCCTTTTTTCTTCAAAAAAAAGGACAGAGAACAGCGATGAGAATCTCATCAACATCAGCAACGTGAACCAAGGGTATTGCAAGTAAAGCTCCTAAAGCAAGTTTCAGGACTTTTTTGCTTATTCAAATATCTGCTATGTCTGAATTGACACAAAGGAAATAAAAGCCTTTTGGAGCAACTGGAAATCTCTCCTTATGAGGTGTTACTATCCACCACGCATTCCAGCAGCTCCTGGTCATTCTAGGGGGACCAGGGTGGGCTCAGGTCACACAGCAGTGAAGTCCCTCCAGGCCTGCAACTGCTCCACATGCTCCATCATTGGAAATTTTTACATTTCCATAAAGCTGGAAAGCAACTATCCCCATAGCCTGAATGAGAGCTTCTGGGAGAAGGGGTAAGAAAGGAGAGCCAAACACACCGCTTGCTCCAGGGCTGCCTGTACTCTGCAGCCCAAAGGCGCCTGTCCAGGGCATATTTTCAGCTTGAAATAAGAAAAGTAGTGAAATCTGGGCTTCAGGGCAGCTTTAAGAGCAACCTGAAAAGCTGCCTGTAAACACAGCTGTCAAGGCCTTCATCGCTGCCAGAGGCTCAGCAGCTTCAGAACCTCAGGGTGCAAAGGAAATGCCACTCCAGCTCTCCTTGTTGGTCAGAGGTGTTAATCTGCCACAGTTTCCTTTTGAAAAACTATCAGTAAATCAAGTTACTGGTGAAATGCAGAGAGGAGAGGGACACATACCCTGGCACTTTGCCTGTTGACTTTTTTCTCTTCATCCGGAAGTGGTGGCATCGGGTAAGGGTATTTTCTGCTGGAAGCAATAGATCCAGTGGATGAAGATGGAGACTTTGCAGGAGACAGTGTCCTGAGATGTTGAAACACATAAAATAAATGTGACGTCTTTACATTCTAGCACTGCAACAGCAACTGCCATTACTCTGAAGCTTGGTTCAGAGCCAAGAATATAGCTTATTATTAGCTCAATATCAGGGGGATAAAATTGCTTGATCAATAGTCTTATAATTTCATTATATGAATAAAGGTATTTAGAGATTTCAGGAACACTGGAAGAAAAAAATTTGCTACTTCTTATTAGAATTGTATAACAAAAAATATTGCTTAAACTGTTTTATATGGTACTGTAATCATTATAAAATTATTAAAAACCAAATCTGCAATTTAATAAATACAGAACTAAAAGATAAACATGGCACTATAAAGCCTAAATAGAAACAGTAATTGTATAAATACAAGCTGAACAAATGTCTTCTCCCAGTGAATAAATGGCAATTATGTGTCTTTATGCATCTCTTACACATCTCCTAAATTGATACAAACATAACAAATAAATCTATTATTTTTGTAACATTAATTTACACAAATGCATGCATTTGGAGGCCAAACTGTTAGTTGTGAAGTAACAAAGGCATATACAAAGTGCTAATAACAAATTGTTATACATGCAAGCATCATACAGTGCATATTGTTCCAGCCAAAGAAAGAGTCTGATGAGAATATACAAAAATGGACTGATTAGTCAATGGCAATCAGCATTTCTGTACAAGGTGAGTAGAGTAAGCAGGAGCAAGTAAATGTTTGTATCACATGAAAGGCATTCTTTTCATGTCAATAAGGCAACAGCACATTATTGACTGAAATTTTATACCCAAGAAAAACTCTTATGCTTCTGTTTTGAGATTCTGCACTTTTCCCACTTGAGAGGTTCCTATTAGGCTCTAAATCTGGGCAGAGTAAAATGAAAAAAGGCCTCAAAGTAGAAAAATTGAGCTATCCTGGCCCCCTTGTTCTCTTGTGTACACCAAGGACATTCACACAGGAGGCCTCTTAATACTGTAGGCACATCACTCAGCCCTCCCTGAGCACTGCTATCTAGTATCTTCTGAGTTAATGTGTCCCTGAGGATGGAAAGTTTCCATAATAATAAGTGAAATTTATTTACCTTTAAATAATTGTCCTCTTATTTTGGACTATTGTATCATTTTGTTGTGTCTGTAGCTCCCTACAATAGAAGATTCTCTTGCCTCCCATACAAACAATGACTGATGGTAGCCACAAGCAACAAAGTGTCAATGGAAATTATATGATGAGAGCTCTCCACTCTGGCTCATGATCCTCTAATGCCTCATGTGGTAGCCTCTAAGTTCAACAGCACTTAAGAGATTTGCATTGGTACAATTATCCAAACATGGAACCATACATCTTCAGTACCTGCACATTGATCACCCATTAAGATGAACTGGACATACACCAATGTTTTCAGGAAGAAAAATCCTGAAACAGTTACTGCAGTATAAAACAAGGTTTCTGTATGTCCGACATCATGGACCTGGGCACCAAACTGTGCATGCAAGAAAACAGGATCATTTAAAAAAAAATTCTAGGGAAAGGTTGTCAACAGTGCCCTGCTGTTCGCTATCCATACAAGTCCTCTCATCTCTACCCCCACTTAGACTATCACTAATAAACTATTTGTGGATCTAGAATGAAGAATATAAGGAAAAGAGGGAGGGGGGAAAAATAAGGAGAGCAGATTTTACATATTATTAGTAATCCAATTATTTACAAATTTTACCCCATTGCTGCAGTAGAATTTTAAATTTTCATTTTAAAATTTGCAACAGTGCACTTGGAGATTAGAAACAAGGAGCTGGGCTAGTGGAATCTGACTTGGCAAGCCCTATCAGAAAGTAATTTAAAATGTAGCACAGCCAGGGGGGTGGCACAGAATGAAGGCATCTCCCATCTCTTTCACCGCACCAGGCGCAACAATTCCAACACACCACAGGCTCTTCACATTTTAGATATTCTAAGAGAAGGCCACAGTGAGAGGAAAAGCCACAGTCAATCTTCCTGTCCATCCATCTGAGCAGGGGATCCTGGAAGGAGTAATAATCCCCCAAAGGATAGGGCATCTCGTATATTTTCCCTGCACAAGCAGGTCCTCTGACCAGGATCCCCAGCTGAGCCTTTCAGCCAGGAAGCTTTGCACCATAACTCAAACACAATGCTGCCAAGCCTCCAGTGTAGCTGCCTACATATTCTTCTTCTCCACCCCCCTTCGCTCACCTGCAGTTTGCACATCTAACTGATGTGAGCTTTGCTGCCCAGCTGCAACACTACAGCCAACACATCAAGAATGCAGTTGCACACTTACAGAAACGACCTTGCCCTCCCCTCACAGGGCCTCACCACTTATTTTTGTTATAGAGTTATGTGCTGATTTTTGTCATCTTTAGTGCCAGCTACTGAGACTGTGAGCACACACGACTCAGCATATGCTCACAGATCTTACAGTGCATCTTCTGTGATAAACAACATTGTTTGAGGTGGTTTTGATGACCTTTCAGGTTGTGCCCTGCAATTGTGTATGTGCTGTGTATCCCAGATTTACGTATACTTTAAATGAGAAAGGTCATGTCTGGCTCTTTCTCATTTACAGGATGGAGAGACAGCATTCAGGGACACTTGCAGGTAATGCTGGGGTTAAAGGTAGGAAAACTTGGCAGTTTTGGTCAAGGGTGGGATCCACTTAGCTTTCACTGGGGTTTCGGTTCTCCTGCAATCAAATCCATTAGCTTTCATGCCAAATGTTGCTTCCAGCTGAAACTTACACAAGAAACCAGTACACACCACAACAGAGATTCAGAGGTTTTACTGCCAACCCTAAATGAAGCCATGCACCTCACTGCAAAAATTCTAATTTTTGACCAGAAAGCAAGATAGAGTGGCCATTTTGTGTCTTTCTGTCCTGAAAGCTGAAACTAAGAGTGTGTGGAGACCATTCTGTGATTCACAACAAACACTGTGGCAGCAAGAAGACATCTGGAAGCAGTCCCTGCAGCGGCCTCTTGTCCCTAAACAGCAAATGTTGAAACAGTGTAAAATGTGTCACCTGATCACACAACTAAACATCTTGCAATTTTGAGTGTCATTTTAGCTGAACTCAACGCAGGTGGTCCTGACAGATCTGAGCTGTTCATGAACTGTGAGTGATTCTCTTTTGCAGACTGAAATAATGTAATGAAATTCAATTAACATTCAACCTGGTGAAAACATTGCAAGCCCAAATATAGACTCTATCAGCCTAATCTGACCTTTGCTGCTGTGGATTCAGCTCTTTGTATGACATCATCAGACTAGATCCTACAAAAGGAAGTTAGGATCTTCTAAAAACACTGGTGTGGCTAAACATCTTAAGGTAAGTTCCTTTTTAAAGCTGCAGATGTGCACGCATGTCCTCAGAAAGAGCAGCAGCAGAGGGGAGAGGAGGCTCATGGAGGGGCTGCAGAAGAGACAATGCTTATGGTTTGAGCTGTCACTTGGAGAAGTGAACTATGCCTCAGAATCAGGCACTCACATGCTTCAATGAACTCTTCTCCCTAACTCTTGAAACAAAATCCTGATCCTACTGACATCAGTAGGCATTTTTTTTTCATTTCCTGCCAACAATAGCAGTATTTTGTAATAGGGAAAAGTCTTGTTTGTTTTTTACTTTAAGCACAGTCTAGAGCTGCCTCAACAAGAGCAGCTTGCCAAGGGCTGGTTATGGCTCTGGCCTCAGCTGGATGCTCACAAAAGAAGCTTATGGAGATGGTCAGCTGAAGACAAACTGAGAAAAAAATCAAGGCCACAAAAGCACATTGGAAATAGGAGGGAAATGACAGCCTACTGTCTCCTCCTTCGATGCCCTTTTGATATGGGACAGCCATTTTCCTTCTGGTTATGTGCTCTGCTGGAAATAGGAGGGAAATGACAGCCTGCTGTCTCCTCCTTCCATGCCCCTTCTCGATGCCCTTTTGATATGGGACAGCCATTTTCCTTCTGGTTATGTGCTCTGGGTCTCCATCTAAAAAAACCCTTTGTTTGCAAACCACTTTTGTGTTTAAACAACTCATAAAATATGACTTATTGTAAACACTTGCATTAAATCAAATGTAGGTGGCTCAACGCTTTAGAAGGTGCCTTCTAGTCTTTTTATTTATAATTATCAACAGACATGCCATGTTTGGGGTTTCTGGCATTTTGTTTTCTGATTCAGTCATGGCTCCATCAAGTCTTTTAGATTCAATGAGAATTCTGAGTAATCCTTAACTATATTCCAGAAGGTCAGCCTGTGTAGTGGATATTGTAATAGGCAGTAACAATAATAAGCAGTACTAGTACATTCATAAAATAATGTCCCTTACAGCAAAGCTAAAATCAGGGTAAGGCTTACTGCCTGATTTTATTGCTGAGGTTATGTGGTTGTAGCCTGACACAAAAAATTAAAATCAAGACTAGACTTTAAGCAGGAAAATGAGAGTTTTCTTCACAGATCTTATTTTCTTGCAGATGGGAATCCCACACTAGGGAGTTTCTGGTGCCAGAGACACCATCTACTATTATTACTATCATTATAAAAAGTAATTATATAGAAATACCCATCAGACTTGTAGACTAGAAAAAAAAATTACTAGGAAATCAGGTGTTAGAGAGACAAATTATGATTTGCACAGGGTATTTTAAGTAGATGGAGAAAATCTTGGTGATGACTAATATCCCTATTTTCTGAAAATCTGCAATTTTCCTAGAAAGTGTTTTGTCATTTTTCCTTATTCTATTTCAACTTTTCCTACAACACCACCAGTCATCAGGATTTTATTCCTAAAACTACAGGGAAACAAGCAAAACAGCAGTACACATTTAAAAGAACAGAGAAGGCAAAGATGATTAGCGACATGAATACTACTCAGCTAAATATCTGGTGTAAACATCTTATTCTGGGACTCTGACTCATAAAATATAATACCAGCAGGACAGTCTGAATTCAGCCTGATGTTCTAGTTTATCAACTAACATCTGTTT